TTATACATATGTAATGTATATATGTATACACACACACGTGTGCGTGCGTGCGTGCATGCGTGCGTGCGTGCGTGTGTGTGTGTATACGCGTGTATTTGCGCGCGCGCGTATATACATACACACATATATATAGAGTGTTCTATCTTTTACTTCGAAATATTTCGAAAAGTATTAGAGATACGGAAAAATGTTTCAGGCTAAAGTTGTATAATGTAAAAAGAGTCAAATAATAATAAAACCAATTTTCGAAAAAACTTATTTTTCAAAGTTAGATGAATGTCATGATCATTATTTAAAATGAAATTGTTCGAATTTTTTATATAATATAATTTTATATATTCTATCAATTCTGTATCTATATAAGATTGCATATAAATACTAAAATAAAATCGAAAAGGCAATAGTTTACGAGATATTATATACATCATTCTGACTTATTTTGACGTAAAATGTAAGAAATGTCTTATAAACTATTAATTTTTTGATAATCGTATCTCAATATTTTTATGCAAAGAATAATTAGAGTAATTATATTTTTAAAGAACTATACAATTCTATTATAAAAATGATCATAACCTTCATGCGACCCTGAAAAATCGATTTTTTTTTCAAAAATTGATTAAATCCATTATTTCGCATAGTTTGGATCATAAAACTTTTGTATGAAATATTTTTCCGTATTTTTTATATTATTATATTTTTGAAATATCGTTGTAATTGACAGAGATTGTCTTATGATGCGGTTAAAGTTATTGACTGTGTACATTAAGCAAGCGCCTTTGCATTAATTAAGAGAAATACGCAGGAAAGAAAGCGTCACTGTCTTGTCCGCGTTCTTTCGTTCTCATTTTTGTAATGATATTAAATATTCAATAAAGTTTCTTGTATGGAATTAAGTCTCTAGTTCTATTCGAAACAAATACTTTGATGTGAAAATTAAAATAGAACACTTTGTACATAATAATATTATATAAAAAAATATTCTTACGCAGTAACAAATATATGATTAGTGTGATCCATAATATCTTGCGCAATATAATTGGCTATAAACATGTACATAATACTGGCTACTACGAATGTAAGAGAAAATAGAAATTCATTGACATTATCCTCAAATATATCAATCTGAAAAATCTAATATACGAATTTTATTTAAATATTATTTGCATGTGATAACATAATGCACTATTCTACTAAATGTTAATCCTAAGTTGTATAATTAATGGAATATGCTAAGTTGTTTAAATATAAAAAAAAATTATTAATATAAATATTATTAATAATTATAAAATAAAATTTATATGTAAAACTTTTTAATTCGGAGAAAAATTCCTGAAACAGCATATCTTCTATAGCAGTAAATGATAAATTTGTAAATATTATATTATGTAAATGTACAAATCCTTTTTAGAAATCTGAAACTTACTCGGAAAAGATTGAGGCTCAAACAGATTACGCCAACTGTTATGATGCAGAATAACATTATCTCAAATTTAGATACTATCAATTTAGATAATCTTCATGCACAAATAAATATTGTATTATTTATACATATATGAATATTACATTATATAAATACTAACTTCATAGCTTGTCGATGAATATCAATGGCATATATCATTCCTTTAAATATCAAATTTTCGTTCTTTAAGGTACTATTTTGAAGCATATTTATTCTCATTACGTGTTCAATACGATAACTATAAAGAATACATTTATTACATAACTTATTTTCTTTGTTTTTTAAAAGTAAAATCTGTAGATTCATCCAAGATAATTATACACATTTGTTTATAATTAGAATTTTTATAAGTTTGTCTGTATTTGTTTTACACCTTGAGATGCTAAGCATTCCGCAAATATGTTGAAAATATGCTATGAGCATCGTTCCTGTTGCTACCATCGCGATACATCCTATGCTTATAGCTGCATATATATGCAACACGATTAAATAAAAATGATTTTCTTGATCGATAAAATATTCCGTTGTAATAAGTAGATAACGAGATTGAGATACGTTTTCCGATAAAGTGTTGTCAATAATGCTCGTCCAAAATTGGGCAACAAATAAAGTACTTACGCTACAAGCACCAAGTACTAGAAAAAATTAAAAAAGATCGTACAAATTTCATATAAAAATATTGAATTGCTCTTTGCGTCTGAAATGGAAAATGTACTGATGTACAATAAAAAATTTATATTACTTGTAAATACAACCGTGTACCATTTGGCATTGTAGTTATACTTTTCTATAATAACGTTTTCATATTCATCTTTTAGATCGTTGTATATATACTGAAGTTCCGACAATAAAAACTTTACCTGTCAGTTCAATTTAATTTATACATCTGACAAAATTTTCTAATTATAAAAATATATTTTTTAGTAACATCTACTCACTAACGAAATGTTTGTCATAACCGACTTACATTTTTGATATTAACAGCAAACGAGATATAAACTACTACAACGATAATACAGAAAAATGCAATGGAAAGAATCTTAATGACAACGTCAAAAGTATGCTTGGTAGTTAAAAATGCGGTTAACTAAAAACAATAATTGCATTATCAAATTTATATTAAAATATAATTTCTTTGATATATTATAATTGCTATTGATTCAAAATTATTAACTTTTAAATATATAATATAGAGGTCTTATATCTAAATAATTACAATATTGTTACATAATCATCATTTTTAAACATATAAACTACGTATGCGTTAATAAGTGTGTTAACAAATAATAGTTATCAATTTATTATTACTTCTTTTATAATGATAATATTAAGATATTACCTTACTTGAAATAAAATACAGCTTATTAAAATACTGAGCAGAAAGACGAATTGAAGACATATAAGTTTTGATTGTTTGTATGGCCACAATCCTACAACGAGCAAAAGAAACTTGTTAAGACTAAAATATTCGGTCTCAATGCGGATCATCTCTCTGTGAGCTCCAAAGTATGACTGCGAAGGAAGAGAATATGTTTATCCCCTCTTTTTTGCATATATCGATCAAATATCCCTTCCCTCTTCTGACGTCGATTTTATTGTAATTTACTTAATTTCGTTTGTATATGCCAAACAACACATGATACTACCGTGAAATTGAAACACTCGCACTTTAATAGCGTTTCTCGGAATATGATGTACGACTAACTAAATAATTGATGAAATTAAAATGATACCGAAATTTTATTGATGTTCTCTTTATTATAATAAAAAAGAAAAAAAATTCTTAAGAAAGCTACTTGCGCGATAACTGTAGGAGAGTTGCGCAAACCTATTTAACACTTTGGACATCTCAATTTTATACGCTTTTACATTTGTACACTTATAAAATACATTCCATTTTTAGGAAAAGTGCTCACTTCTTCAGTATCACTGACCATTCCAAATTGTCGTTGATAATCTGATTCGAAGATAACGTAATTCTACTTTCTAAGCGTAGAGTTTTATTTTTCGATACATTTTCTGTAATATGTTTTTCGCATAATTTTATAATGTATTACTTAAAAAACTGAAATCTACAAAATTTATAGATTTTATTAATACGATATTTATGTAATCAACCTAGTCAACTTTCTCAGAATTGATAATACAAAAAAGTGGAAATCGAACAGTTTCAAAAAGTATTTTAATTACATTGCTTTCTCCTAGGTGGAGATATTTGACCATCATATTTTTAAAAAGATATGAAGGTATTCATTTTTTAAAATGAATCATGTAATTTTTTCACACAACATAATTTCTCTTATTATTCTGTATGTAGAAATACTAAAATAGAGATGTTGAAAAATCACTAATTTACAGAAACTTTATATTTTATTCTGGCAATTTCTATATAGAATGAAATATTCTCCTTTTAGCGTAAATTTTAATATAAATTTTGTAATTTACTGTGAGTTATGCGAATGCATCGAAATATAATTGAACAAATTTGTCAGAGCTATGAATATTTACTCGATTGATTTGTCGATAGCAATTTGAAGGTTATCATTTGTCGGTCTTGCTCATGAGAGATTCGTGTATTTACAAAAAGTCCATTTCTTTGTTTTTAGTGTCGAAATTTTATTTTGATGAGCGCCCTCGGCTACACTTGCTGGCAGAAATATTCTTCAATTTTAACTTTTTCGACACTGGAACCATTTGATAAAATTTTAATTTAAAAATAATTAAAATTAGGTAAATACGCAATAATTAATAATTGTATAATTAAAATTAGATAAACGCAATTTTATATTAAATACAAATAAAAGATTGTAAAGAGAAAGGTATTTTGATTTCGTGAATATTATTTGATCGATATTTGATCGACATTTTCTATAAAACTGTTTTTTATTTACTTTCTCCTTATATATGTTAAGGATGATTACACATGAGAAGACATTGCATAGATTTCAGATGGTAACAATGTGTACATGTGATATGATTTAATATATTATCAGAAATATATCACCATACGTATGTATATCGGTTATAGTTAATTACTTAAAAAATCAGCTCTTATCATTCATAATTTCAAAATTTAAAATACAATAGTATAACGAAAATTTTTCCTATAAAAACGAAGAAATAAAAACAGTCGTGAAAAAATATTCTCATAAATGCCACGCGAATTTTGTTGTTTTCGCTGCCGTATTTTCATTTATATATATA